AGTTTCTCGTTATCATAATATTTGTAATAGCTAAGTACATAAAAAGAAAAACAATTTCAATGTTTAAGTTATATTTAATTAATCTATTACACTTCTAGCTGGATGTATTTAAAATAGAGTAAGCCAAATACTTAATGAGGAAAACTTGAAATTAAATATACCAGAAAAGTAATTGTATCAGTATCACTATAAGTACAAGTTTGGACAAAACGTGATTTTCCCATTTTAAATCTTGCCCAGGTTTCCCCTGTATAATTTTATTGGTTGAATGATATTATTGATACATAAATCACAAATGTACAATAATTATATAAACACAATTAAAATATAATATTATTTGATATTGGGTATTGGTCAGTAATCGCAACTTATCTTAAAGAAATTAATATCACATAGTTTCCACATATAATATAAAGTTATAACATAAAATTATAGGTATGATAAAAAATATTTTTTATATGAACTGAATAATAATAAAGAAATTATCCATACACAATTACCTATGTAATCTATACTTATGATATTACTTATTTTCTTATTTTTAGGGGGGCTTTAACTTCTAATAAATTATTTTGGAGCGACTAAGCCCTCATAAGCCCCCTCCTGATCTCCACTTATGCCCCCCTATCCAATGCTTGAGCTCCATTACACCTTGAACTTGTGCTAAGTATTATTTAGAAGCACCCTGTGAGGCTGCAATTCATATTTGTGCCTATACTACGTGTTAAACATTTACCGCTCACTAAGGTCAGTCAAAATATCGCGTAACTACTGAAATTAATAATTATAAAATGTGTACACTGCAGGTTGGAAATATAAAAAATGTCGATTAAATTTTTTTTTTTATTTGCTGACTTCAAAACACTGTTTATAGCAAGCCAGAATGGATCCAGAGTCAGCCACCCTCGGCGTGAAACGTGTCAACACGTGATAAAATTTAATAGGTAGGTACGTGCGATAAAATAACATAGGTACCTATAATATATAAGACACGTTCGGGCCAAATCGTCATCCCGCGGTGCGTGCAGCTGCTCTGCAGTTCCGTTTATTACGATTCGGAGTCAAAAGTTTTGCTGTAAAAACAACGACGCGTGAATTTACTATACTAATTTACAAACAGCGTCCAACACACTATATAATATAATAATATATCTGCCTGTGTATACAGTAGGTAATAGTTAATAGGTATATCACCAGTATAATAGATAATATAGTAATCGAAGCATTATTAATTCGACTATTGATCTGACGACATATAGTCACACAATTTCATGTTTCCAATTTTTTTGAATGTTAAGTATCGGGGCATACATTAGTGGAGAAGTATATTATTACTAAGGTGGCAACAATAATATAAAATTTAATTTTCAAATTTTATAGAATTGCGGAAAATTTGAAAAACTCTAACCTTTTTCTAATGTATACTGTATAGGAACACTTCTTATTAGCTGCACAGACATGCAAGTGTCATTATCGCCGACTGGCATCCGGTCAAATTGTATTCTTGTAAATTAATATTAATGTTTATGAAATTAATGTATGATTATTGATTACTGATTAGTGATTATACTAATAGTGTGCACTGTGCCGTCTGTTGGATGTAACCAAACAAAAATTTACAAAAATCCTAGCAATTCTTTTTAGTTTCATTGTAACACCCTAAGTACACTAGTACACTATAACGTTAAGTAAACTCATAGTAATAGCTATTTAATACCAGTATACCACGAACCCGTTCACACCATTCCGTACGGTATGCGGTATTTACCGTTATTAAACTGGTATCAATGAAATATTCAGATACGTGTAATATTCAGAATATGTTTATAATAGCGACGATTGTAATGTATTGTTAATTTTTACTCGGCGGCCAAAAACGAAAGAGTTGATAAAAAAATTAAAAATTGGGAAAAAAATTTTGTGAGGCGAAAGTTGGGTAGGTCGAACGTTCAGAGTTCAGACCACTCCGGTGCTGTATCCGAAAGGAAACGTTGTTTCACAGTGGAGCGATTGATAATGAGGTACACTTTAAAATATTTCTTCATGTTATGAAGAATCGTCACAAGTGACCATGGACTGTGTGGGTCCATGACCAGGTCTGCAGTACGGCTAGTTTGACGTCGACCACTCAGAGCGCCTCAAAGAATTTCCGTCGGTTATAAGAATGAAAAATAATTATTTTAATTTAAATTCATATAATAAAATCCTTAAGAGGACGCTACACCCGCATGTGTTGTCTCCGTCTTACACACGTACGACATAGACAAAAGGCGTTTAGGCAGTCTGAGTATAACTCGCTCAATTTTGGTTCTAGAGTAAAAATGCCTATTATGAAATTGAATTGTGATAATATTTCCAAGGGCAAGACGCTGCGGTTTTTCCATTATACCCAATATAACGTTCATTATATCGTTTAGAAATAGAAAAAATTTCACCATTTTTAAAATACCTGACTTTTAAAAAATTAAATTTTTTAAAAAAACCGCAGCGTCTTGCCCTTAGAAATATTATCACAATTCAATTTCATAATAGGTATTTTTACTCTAGAACCAAAATTGAGCGAGTTATACTCAGACTGCCTAAACGCCTTTTGTCTATGTCGTACGTGTGTAAGACGGAGACAACACGTGCGGGTGTAGCGTCCTCTTAAGTATATTTAATATTTTAAAATTTAATATATTATAATATTTTGTAATGTTATTGAATTAGTATTATTTTTCATTGTCCTTAATTTATTAAACCAAGTAACTAAATGGTATTTATAGTACATGAAATAATGTACTAATATTTTATGCATTTGAGATAGATGTTTTACACTTTTAAGATATAAATTTTTTTTTCATCAACATTTCCTCCCCCCCTCTATATGTAGATTTTTTCTAGAACATTTTTTTGACTTGAGGGGCCTCCAAAAAAATTGTGCACTTGGCCCTAATTTTATTAAATGCAGAGGCCCTGGTACCGAGTAATAGCCGAGTCTTAAATATGATATTGAGTACCTGGCCATCGAGTAATTTCCGGATCACTTATAAGTTATAACCTTGATTCATATATTTGATTATGTGTTGGTCTTCAACTACTCTCCTATGTTATCTAATATATCTAAAGACGAAACGGACCATAATAATATAATATAGTACCTACATTACAGTGGCAACCGTACTATATACAGTAGAATCGGCTTAAAGGGGACATTAATGACAGCCGCGAATGAATGTATTGTATGTAAAATTCTCTAGTTAATCGGGACAGTCAAGATAATGGGGACAAATAGGTCACCGCCCGCAATTAAGCGGATTCAAATGTTTTACAATATATAAGAAAAATAATAGATCTCCATTTGCTGACACTAGAGCATTAAATTTCAGCAACTACTATTAAAAATAGTTAGACCATGGATTTAACATTTTGGGTGATATTTTTATTTTATTAAAATTATTTACAATCTATACAGTATTACAGTACAGTCAGTATAGGTAATGAGTAAATTTGAGAGTTAATGGTTATTTACAGGAGGTTAGCATTTAAAGGCAGGCTCTTGGCAGTCAGCAGTGCCACCCAACCAGTATATTATAATATGAGTACTAATTTATTGATAAAATAAGTTTTTACTTTTTTCAAAAACATTTTGTTACTCCATAGTAGGTACCTATCAAATAGTCAATTACAAATTTAAATACTTATTATTTTCGTATATCATTGTTCATAAAATCTTCCCCAATCCTCACTGGCATATAGTTTTACCTATCCAATATGTGTAAGATTAAATAACTACCTATTACCTAATAAGCCAAGTATGAAATTAATTTATTAATAACATACTATATATTGAGTACTTGTGTTTGTGTCAGTGCAGTTTATATCTTAACCAATATACACCATTATTTACTTTAAATAACTGACTCAGTGGTATTTACAAATATTATGATAACATCATTTATTACAAGCATAAAACTCGAAAAGACGAAGGAAAATATTTATAAGTTAACGCAATTAGTACATTTGCTTTAATATATTATATTTATATTTATTATTATTGTATAATAAAATATAACTTTTCAAAATATAATAATATTATGATACTAATTAAATTAATTTCTTCATTTGTTGCCTCATCAGGGCTAATCTAACCGTGGCCAAGAGGTGAAGTATTATTATTATTGTAATAACAGTTGATAGTTACCTTGTACACCAAAATCATATAAGATAATAATTTACAATGTCAAATAAAACTAAAATATTTCAGTTAATTTTTATTATGAAGAATATAATGTTTTTGTTTTTATATATAACTAAATGAAATGAAACAAAATAAGCGTATAAAAATAGTATAATATTTGAATAAAATAACCATGTGGATATAATAGAAATCGCCCATAAATAAAATACAATAAATCTCTTGCGCGACAGTGGAAATATATTGTAAGAACTCGTTGAAATCTAAAACTATTCAACAGAATTTGTAAAAACACATTTAATGAAATATATTTACAAGGACAATAATAGTTAGTATGATATTTTCTTAATAGTGATTATAATAGTACACATAGTGGACGTAGTATAATATGAAAATTATTAATAATAATGTGTTAACGCGGAGATGACATACTTGGAATACACAAATAAAGACATTGCATTGACTAAAAGTATGTTTTAAATAAGTACTAAATGAATGTCTAACTCAGAAACACATGAGATTGTAAAGCATAATTTGCAATGGTTTCTTTGATATATTACTACATATTACTACTCTTGTTCTCTAGCATCACCTTATAAAAACAATTTTTTAAAAAAAAACAGTTAATGAGCGATTTCTAATGTATGATTAAATGTGATGGTAATTATCCCCATATTGACTAAGATAAATAAACTGTTGAAATGATGCAATATAATCACATTTTTAAAGATCCTTGCATATTTCAATACCACTTAAAAAAAAACAATAAAATTATAAAAAACAATCAATGGAATGTAGACATAAACATGTTTTTTTTGTAATTTTAATCGTTCTTCTTATTTTCGGCTTCTTTGTAAGGTGGAGGAAGTTCCTGAAACATAATAAAAAAAACATAATTTATTTTAGACAGTCGTCAAACAAAAACTAGAACATATTAAGTGACACTGAATCAACTGATCTGTTTCCTTTACGTTGGAGGCCTATCATGACCTACCATATTAGTATTAAAAATGTTATCATACCAAATATATTAAATTCATCATTTAACTTTATTTTTAGATTCTGAGTGGAATGATGAATGTATTGATTTTACAATGATGTGTGTTTTTTTATTTTTGTGTCTGTCATTACGGTTTGGGGCAGTAAAACTGCTTCGATTTTCTTCAACAGTATCTTGTTCAATGGGAAACTGAATCTAGATTGTGCATTGCATTCGGGAGGTCGCATTTTTAAATTACCAATAGTTTTCACAAGCACCAGGAAAAACAGCATAAAAATTAAGGAAAAAAGGGAATTTTTAAGCAAAATCGGTTTTCCACAAAATCGATTTTGGTTTTTGGTGTAACTCTAAAAAAAGTGACCGTAGATACATGAAATTTTCACTAGTTGTTTATATTTGCATTTTCTATACACGATAAAATTTTCGAAATATTATGATTCGTTTTGAACTGTTTAGGAACATTTTAATTTTCCAATTTTTTTTTAGTTTTTTGTTCTAAATACATTCTAAAATACATAGGCACAATTTTTTTTTATAAGCATTTAAAGATCGAATTTTGACAAAATTTATAAAATGTTTAACTTTTATATCTACGGATTGAAAATTTAAAATGAGATAGCTTATTATATTACCAAAAAATCTAAAAAATACATAAGCACACTTTATTATTAAAGTCATTTTTAATTCAAATTTGGACAAAATTATATAATAAAAAATCTAGAACTATTTTAGTTATTTTGTTGTGATTTTATAATATTACTATTATATATCTATGATAGTATCAGGGTTTGTTGTTGATGTATAATGTGTTATAAGTACCTAATGGATATTGTGATATAATTAAATTGGAATTTATTTTAGGTACCTATTATATGTCAAATTTTTTTAATACCATAGATAAGTATATAATATGTCTTATACCTAGACTGACATACTGTCTCCTCTCAGAATCGTTTTTCTTATACAATGATATTATATCATTGAATTCAAATTTAATACCATCCATTATACAGTGACCCACTTGTAACCTACTGTACAGTAGAGCACCTTTATTCATTTAAATTCATTGAGTGATCAACCATTACCAAAATTTAGTGTCCCTCACTACCTAAGGTGCTAGAAACATTTGGATATCGAAAACAATAGTTGTATTATAAACAGGTATACCGGGTGATTCTTTTATCAAACAACACTCATTATTTCAAAAAGTGTAAATGTTTTTGAAAATATTTTTTACATAGTTTCAAGTCGCTTATAAAACAACGTTTTTATAAAAAATTATATTTTTAAATATTTTTTATCCTTATAATTTTTTATGTTTTTTACTTTTTTAAACGACAACATATTGTTTTAATTTTATATTCTAAAGTAGAATATTTTTCTGAGTATTTTGATACATCAAAATCGAATTTGGGTTGAGTAGTTTACGAGTTATAAGTATTTAAAGTTTAGACGAGCGGAGTGGAGTGGTTCGGGGTTACCCCGCGAAATGTTTGTCCACTTCACCGCTCGTCAAAACTTTAAATACTTATAACTCATAAACTACTCGCCCCAAATTCAATTTTCATGTATCAAAATAATAAGAAAAATATTCTACTTTAGAATATAAAATTAAAACCCTATGTTGTCATTCAAAAAAGTAAAAAACTTAAAAATTATAAGGATAAAAAATAATTAAAAATATAATTTTTTAATAAAAACGTTGTTTTATAAGCGACTTGAAACTATGTAAAAAAATATCTTCAAAAAAATTTACACTTTTTGAAATAATGAGTGTTGTTTGATAAAAGAATCACCCGGTATATAACTATAAGAGTATCTTAAAAGACTGTTTAGGTTGATACACTCTCTGGATTAGATTCTTGATAGACAAGTTAATTTTGAATACCCTACAGAGTATAATATATAATTTTTTTTATTAAGTTTATAATAATTTTGATATAACATGTTTTTTAAATAATTATAATATAAAAACTTACATAGTATGATGGTGGTGGAACATAAGCCATCTGTGGCCTGTTGGGATCAAAGTATGCACTTTGTGCTGCTTCTGCTGCTTTTGCATCTGTAAATATTATGTATCTGTTACTTTAAGATTTATACATTTTTTTAAAAGATTAATAATATAGTTATACTGTTTTGTAAAATATTTTGTCTGATGATCAGATTTTTTGAAATTTTATATTTTTTATTATAACATACACAATATTTAGGGTAACTACAATGGTATAACAGTCTGGAGTAACAGAATATATTTTAGTAGCACTGTACTTAAAAAAATTTAATGGATATCATTACTTTTATATTATTATATAGGTATTGATAAATTATATGCTCCTTTTAATTCAAATCACATTATTGATTATTTTTAACTTTTTCTTTGCTAACTTGTTAATTTATATAAGTATTATCTACAAAAAAATTAAATACTACTGGTAAAATAAACAAAGTTGAAAAAAAAAATGTACAACGTAATCTCACTAGTCATGAGTAGAATCACATTAAATTTTACTCAGTGACATTGAAATTAATATTAATGTTAAGACTTTAAGCGAATGCAACACCTGCATGCATTGCCTGTCTTACAAACACAAAACATGGCAAATTGTACATTCTGAATACTTTATTTTACTCTGTTATGATTAATATTGGAGAGAATTTACTTGTTATAAAATTTAGAAGTGAGAATATTATCTAGTGTATCTCATAGGATTTTTTTTTATATTTTAAAGTAAGTTATGAGTATTTTAAAATGCGCAAACTAATTACTAAAAAAAAAAAGTCTATTAGGTTCACAAGATAGTATTCTCACTTCTAAATTTTATAATAGGTCAATTTGCTCCAATATAATCATAACAGAGTTAAATATACAATTCAAAACGTACAATTCACCAAATTACAGGTAAGACAGAGACAGCAGAGAAGGGTGTAGCATCGTCTTAATGAGTTATTATAAAAGTACAAATAATATTATAAGTGCTAAAATAGTGATATAACTGTATAACAAGCAATAATACAAGTAATTTGTGCATGGTATATAGTATGATTTTAAATGTTTTACATTAGTATATTATAGTGTTATAAGTACAGATCTCAATTTTCACCAAAAAGTATTAATAGTGATAAAAAAAAATTATTTTACCGACAAATATACAAGACAATGTGATTATTTAAATTCAAAACTATTAATACCTTGTCCATTAAAAAGTTGTGGAGGTGGAGCTGTTTGTGCGGGTGGAGCGCTTGCATAACCTGGATTACCAGTGAAACCAATAATACCTGGATATGGTGGAGGCATATCGGTTCTATAGACAGATTGAGCTAAAAAATAATAATAATAATATTTCAACTATTTTCTGCCAATTTTCTAATTATTAATGAAATGCGTCAAAAAAAACAAATAGGTTTGCGTTTTATACAAATTTTACTAAAAATCAATCATCGTTAAAATAAAATATATATTTACGAGGTGGTGCATCTGGGAAAGCTGCAGTTGAAGGCATCCATCCATAGTAGCCAGGAGGAGGTACACCGTACGGAACATCAGCCATATAGTATGGACCTTCAGGTGGAGCGTAGGCCGGCGGATTATCCATTTCAGGATAGTTACTATTAGCTAAATTAATTTGTTTGATTCATATTGAATATAGATCTGTATACAATTATTATATATGTGTAAAAAAACATACCCATTGATGCTGCTCTTAACATTGCTCTTCCAAAATCAATTGCACCTCCCTTCTTAAATATCAATTTGAATTTTGCTTCACCTACCCAGTTTCCATTAGGCTGAGCACGTACTTTACCTTTTATATAGTTTGAACCAAAAACTGGTTGCTCCAATTCAACCTGATTTTTACAACAATCTCAAAATTAGAACATGTGAAAACATTAACTACCTATATATTTTAGTTTTAGTTATACTTACATCTTTAAGAGTAACAAATGGCATACTAAATGATAAAAGCTCGTCTTTGTCAGATTTGTTGATGAAAATCAAACGATGAGTAGTTAAAAAAAGTTTTCCCACTTTAGATCCATGAAATGCTCTGCCATCTTGGCCGTGAAAGTCAATGGTAACAGCATCAGTAAACAAAATAATGCTAAAAAAAAAGAAAAGAAAATTATATTATTTAAGTACATTTCTGTTTATTTGTTAAAAATTGTTAAGCATCTTTTTTCCTTGCGTTTTACCAAAAATATGTTAAATTTTATTCATAATATAAGAACCACAAATTACATTTATACATCTTTAATAACACCTCTGGAACCAGAAGACATCCACATAGAGAATACAATCACCTTTGGGATAAATATAATATGACATCAGCTTATTTTAAAAAATCTTAGCAGTGTGTTTGAAAGTTGTATAGGTGGACATTGGTCACATCTCAACGAGATCTCAAGTATAGCCTTAGTATCTATAGTAAATACTCAGATATTTATTGATTAATTACCTATGATTTATAATTTATATGGTTCAGTGATTTATTAGGGATATTATAAATTACATCGTTAAATAACGAAAGTCACAATTTTATTATTTATATGTTTAGGTAACTACATTGAAACAGGGAGGTACTAACCTAAAGCATTATTTAAAGATATTTCAGGGACCGTATTCAAAACGGGACAATGTGTTACTCACATTATTAATTTTGTTGAGTATAATATACAAAAGTAATGATAATGAACAAAAAAATTAATTTAGCAATCACAAATTGAATTTATCAGATGCATACCTGTCACAACCAAGGTCACGACTATAAAAATATTTTATAAAGTATTAATCTTGGTATTATTAATGTTTTTAGTATATTTTTATTAATAGGGAAAATAGGTAGGTATTGAGGTAAATATTATAAATTCCATATTCCTACCTATACTTGATATAAAAATACATTTTTGTTTTTATAATATTATACGTATATACTATATAGGTACTTAAGTACAAACATGACCTTCCTTGTTCATTAGCATGTACCTACATAATTTAATTACGAGTTTTATTGTAATACCTAATGCTCTAAAAATACAGGGAAACATTTAAGTTCATAGAAATATTGGTACATAAAAAAAACACTTTAATTGTAACAGTAGGTATACTACTTAGTACTTACTAGAGGGTAAACCACAAGGAAGACCACTATACTCTGTTCAACGAAAGAACGCACAGGTTTTGTGCATGTAGACTGACGACCAAAAGCTCGTTTAGGCTCCGTTTCCCGCTAAAATAACCCCAACACTATATTATGGGAGCGCCGCACGTGCAAGCGATTCTCTTCGACCGCTGACGATTATGGTCATCGGGCAGCCCGTGCATTGTTTTGTTGAACAGAGTATAGTAGCCGAGATAGTAGCAATTTTTTACACCAGAGGATTCTTAAAGATCTACGGACTACCTAAGTACCACCTCGGGTACCATTAATGGTATAGCTCTCTGTAGGCATTTACCTACTGAATAGAAAACATGATTTTGGTTAAAAAAAAAGCCCAAGATAAACATTTTCAATTTTTATTTGAGTAAGTAAAAATTTCAAATTTTCCATAAGTAGGTAGACTAAAAAAAAAGAATTTTAAATCATCAATTAATGTGATCCATTGGTTAATTTGGAATTGTGATTAAACACAACTGTCTTATTTTTTTTTTATGATGGTGTTCTTGAGGTGCAATTACAATGATTTGTCAGGGCCACTGCAAGGGGCATTGCCATACCTAAATACGACTATGGTAAAAATGCCTCTACATAGGTGCCCACAGTATTTAGTGGAATATAATATTGAAAATGCACACTGTTCATAACAGATTAATACATTTTTAATTGTAGGTACCCATTATTATAAATTGTAAGCTTAATTGCAATAATTATAAAAATATCATCGTCTGCTTCAGTAGGTTGATAATGGAAGTAATGAGAGAAAATCCAATAGAAAAAATGTGACAACAGACACAAAAACAACACACAAATCATTATAAAATCAATACATTCATCGCTCAGAATCTAAAATACAAAATGCTGATAGTAGGTTCCTAATCGAGTTTCTAATAGAACTTCAATACATTTTTTAACAATATTGAATTGCATTAGAAAGTACAATGAAATAATGATTACTACTCATAGAATATTCTAGAATATTGCTAACAGTGGTGAAATATATTATGTACCTTAAGCGTTACAAAGATCAGTTCTGATTTCCATCCAGGTACCTAATATAACCGAAAAAATATAGAACAAGTAGGTTTCAGAATCTAAAATGGTAAATGCCGATAGTAGGTTCCTAGTAGAACTTAAATCATTTTTTTAAATGACATCGAATTGCATTAGAATTACAATGAACTAATGATTACTACTCATAGAATATTCTAGAATATTGCTGACAGTGGTGAAATATATTATGTATCTTAAGTGTTCATCAGTTCTGATTTCCATCCAGGTACCCAATATAACCAAAAAAATATAGAACAAGTAGGTAGGTAATGCATTAACTATTAGTTAAAATACTATAGTACATTTTTTCTGGAAGCCACCTAGGTAAAAGGAAGCAAAATGTAAATACAGAAAGTAGGTGCACGGTGAAAAAATATATATAACGCCTAATAATATATTAGACAGCGTTGGTGGTCCTGTCTTAAAAATTGGCATAATAACCACTGCTTGGGCATCTTGGATGTAGTCCAAACTAAAGGTGTGAGTGTGTTCTAATTGTGTACCACTGACGACAGGCAGGTGCCGTCACCCCGAGCCTGCGACGCGCAGAAGTTCGAAACTTCGAATGCCATTCCGCATTCGCAAACGAATTCCGTTCGAGAATGAGCCCTACGCGGGGAGTCATATCTTTAACGGGTTCGCCCGGAAGGTCAGGAACAAGAAAGAGGGGACAGCGGAACGTGGCCCGAAATGCAATTGGTCGCAGCTGCAACGAATTCTGCACCGAGTGCATCGGTAGTACTATCCGCAATAATAATAGTAATCCGCAGGTAGGTGGTACAGCGGACGTCACGGGGCATACATAATCATAGTTTCTATGACTCACCATTCGCCTGCGTGTATCAGGCAACCGCCACCTTGCACATGAGCTGTGTTCAGCGACATGATCGTGTCGTCGATCGTCTGTCGGTATGGTGTTCGGCAGCTGGAAACACGATCGGGGAAGGCAGACAAATTAAATCCAACAAAATATCGTCGGCGACGAACGTTCGCGAAACTCCGCTCGGCGAATTACGTCACACGGGGGCAGGGGAATCCGGACGACGACGGCGAATAAGAAATGACACCGACAAGACCGGGTATCACACTGACGAGAAACTACGAAACGAGTAAAGTAATAACAACAACAAAAAAAACACACACGCGCACTATAGATTTATTATTATAAATCGCGACGTAATATAATATTATCGGCGGCCCGCGTGTGCCTGAGCGTGCGCGCGAGACCGTGTACGTGTGAGAGAGCTCGTGTGTTTAATTTCTCGCAGTTGCTGATTTTGTTTTTTTTCCAAAAAAATGTACAAGCTCACCGCGCCCGAAAGCTGATGACGGCGTCAATGTTATTACGAACTGTATCGCGAGAATTGCGCGTGTTTGGAACGTTCGACGCAGAGAAGAACGCGATCGACGACGTACGACGATATCGTATTATTATTATCACTCGAGTGGTAAAAACGAAACTGTCGCGTTGCGGGCGGGCGATCCACTCGGTGATGCGATTATACGAATTCCGGATGAGCCGCTGCTTGTCCGAAAAGCGACAACAACTACAGCAGCTGTGGTCAACACACGGCACAAATACAACCACAACTTACGACTGCACTCCCGTCCGCGATAAACAGCTGCTGTCGTGATTAGAGAGCAAAGATTAGGCGTTCTTGGCGAATATCCAAGGTCGCCGCCGCTGCGCCACAGTGTCGCCAAGCTGGGAATTCCCGCTCGAGGCTCGACACGACGTAGTTGTATATTTTCAAACTGCGTTCCCGCCTAACTAAAAGAAATAATCGTCAAATTCATAATATTAATTAGAAGGACATACCGTCTCCGCTCAGAATCGTTTTTCTTATACAATGATATAATATCATTGAATTCAAATGTAATACCATCCATTATTATACAGTGACCCACTTGTAACCTACTGTACAGCAGAGCGAAACCCACTTGCCCACCTTTTTTTCATATGATTTTTTAATTTTTGGTGTTTTTGAACTGGGGGTGCTGGAGCATCCCCAAGCAGCCCCCTAGTTGCGCCTATGCCTACTACACTCAGAGGCGTAATCAGGAATTTTGTAAGGAGGTGGGAGGGCTAAGACGTTAAGTATACAAATGAAATAATGTCTTTTATTTACACTTTTTTTTTTTTATTAATCTTGATAAAATTCTAAGGTCAACACAGTCAATGGAGGGGGGTATAGCCCTCTTAGCCCCCTGGCTACGCTTTTGAATGCTGGATACTACCATTCGTATATATAGTTTACCTATATAATGTAATTTGTAACTTAAATTTGTGTTGTTGGGCACCCTTCCAGAACTGTGCTTTGGATCCTTGCCTGATAAATGTTAGCATTAGAATATAGTGCATTATTACTGTATTGCCATTTAGTATATTTTACTATGGTCTATGGACAAAAATCTGGTTGCTTTAAACGTTAAAGAAAATTGCAAAGCCATTGTCAGAATTTATTACTGTGGTTTATGTGAATGTGATGACTTAGTGTAAGTACTTTGACTTAGCCATAAAATCAAAATTTAAGTGATTTTTAAGGGTGCCTTAATGCCTTATGCAATACGATTATGAAAGGTTATTAATATATGATTAAATAGATAAAAATACTCACCTTTTACGACTTTCAGGGATGTATAGCATATATAGGTAGAGCACTATAGCCATTAGCCTCCGAACGTAACGAAAATATGTATGAATACAAATTAACATTTTAAATATTCAAAATAACCAATAACAGTGACAGATCTAGGATTTTTATGGTGGGTGCTAGATGATAATAAAGCTCCTTGGGGGTATCTACTTATTATGAATAACTTCAGGGTTTAAAGGGTCACAAATTTAACATATATTTGGTAGTTTACAATTAATACAGTTAGTTCTACGTAATAACTGATACTTAAAAAATTTATAAAAAAAAAAATTTAATACCTATATGCGGCTATGCGGAACGGTGGGTGCTGCAGCTCCCAAATACAGTAAAGCACCCCCTCCCCCACAGACCACATACACTACTAAAGCCGTCACTAATAAATGACAATATATTTTTTTGCATATTAATATTATGCTTAAAACATCAATTATAGCTATGCAATAATTTGTAACCATTTCAAAAACATACAATTTAATTAAATGCACAGCCGACATTTCTAGTGATGAATGATGATGTAGGGTGTCTGGATGTATGGGACATGTCACATGGGTAAGGTTTTCGGTAAGGCTTCGAGCCTTCAACATTGTCAAAAAAACGGTAACTTAAACCCTAAAACAAACAAATTAATTAATAGTACCTAAATATTAGTTGATCAAATAAATGTAGGTTTGGTTAAGAATTGCGATGCCGGTCCGTGTTTGCCGTATCGTATTGTAGATATCGAGTATCGATAATAGTATAATACCAATTACTGATTAGGTATTGCTGTTAAGCGAATTACAGTTGCTACCTATTTCTAGGATAGCTAATATTGATAAGTCAGTTGATGTAATTTATTTAAAATATAAATTCCTTTAAAAAATGTATATTAAAACCAAAAAAATATAATATAACGAGGTTTTGTCGAGGGGACCTCATCGCTTTAATCAATGATCGTCATAATTAAACTTCTCGAGAGTGTCCTGCCAGCAGTCACTGCGCTGCAACATCATTATATTATCATTTACACGACTATACACACGATCCTGACCTTACTATCCATTTGCAGGTTGCACGGGAGTTGCATATATATATATATATATACATCACAACTGTATCAATACGATATAATACGTATACGTAATATTGTATATACATATATTTGACTTGTCGGCCTGCAAACGGTTTTTCGTCGACGACCGCGAGCCATTCATCGATCGCGTCTCTCCTTTTTAACCCCACCCCGCCTCCGCCACCCCTCGATTCCTGCAGGAGGCAGACGCAAGTCACACGCGCGCATGACGCCGGCGCCGACGCGCATACTCGGACCATAGTATCGTACACTTACACGAGTTTGCTTTCGAGTTTCACGTGCGTGTGTGTGCAATACGGTCAGATTATCGCAAGTCTGAATGGTGCGTGCGTATATATTGTGGGTGTAACGGTGGCGCTCCGAACATCTCTGCACCAACAACAACAACAACAACAACAACAATAATGCGCGCGCTGTTTCGATTTGTTGATAAAACATTATAATAATAATAATAATAACAATATAACAGTGTATAACATTGTGTATCGATATAATACGAAATAAATATATGCCTAGCCGTGCAAAATAGACAGCAAACGCTGAAGACGAGCGATATCACGTACGTACCTAAACGCGCGTATTTATGCGTGAAATATAAGTACAGGTTCAAGCTATTCGGCTTGCGCAAATCTTTGCTGATCGCCTCGGCTGCAGTACGTCGTGATGGATGAGAACTTGAGCAGGGGCTACGTGGCCCTGGGAAAACGCGGCAACGTCTGTCCACTGGCTACGCCTCCGGTAGACAACTTTGGCAAGACTTACATGGCTATGGTGCTGGCGGGCGCCGGTTTTCTATTCCCGTACAACAGGTACACCTATTATATACATTGTACATCACCAGTGGCGTGCTCAGCTTTTTTGAAAGGGGGAGGGAGGGTATGGATTTTTGACTAAATTCTCAGACCCCGCGGTATATACACTTTAATAATGAAAGTTTCATTGTTTTATCATATACTTTACACGACAAAAATAAACCAAAGGGGCCAAGGGGGGTATATGGCACTCTCGTCCTCCCCCCGTGAGCACGCCATGCTATATACATGGTACAGCCAGCAGGGGCTGATAGTTTTTGACATTAAGTGTACACAATAGACGAAACGAAACTTTAGACGTAAGTCATAACCAATTATTATATTACAGTCAGCAAGGCAACCTGCAGGGCCGCCATCTAAACCTATTTATATTTTACTTAGTACCCCTTACATTGACTTATCTAGGACAGGGGCAAGGGGTCAACCTCTTCAAAGCTCACACCACACACCACACACAATTTTTGAAAGAAATGTTTAATTCAAAAATTTAATTATGTAGTCATATAGATAACAAATTAAATTTAAAAATAAATGGGTGGCCTGTGAATATATATAGCTACAGCTGAAAGACGTTTTTCAACTCTTAGGCGGGTTTCAACTCTTAAACTTGGCATCGTTCTGGGATGCAAGAAGATTGACGTAACATCATAGTTCATTATGTTTATTGAGTGTTCAATAAATAGAATAATAATTTATCGCTTTACAAATAATGTATAGCTATAAAACGTTTATATTTTGTAGTTTTGTAACTTATTCCTGATTGCTGAACATTTTTAATAAATATAAATATAATATAAATTTAAAATACTATTGTGATAGAAATTACTTTGATTTATTCATTTTTAAAATTTGTGTATGTTATATACCTAAATACCTTCTTTAAATTTGATAATTTACCAATAAATGCAAGTAAGGGATTCGATACTTACCTAGGTACCTATATATAATACTTTAAAATGTAGGTACATATTTGTGTAGCTCACATTCATTAGTTATTACGGAGACTATTTAGTGGATGTTAGGTATTTGTGTTTAATGACGTACGTAGGATTATTTTTGGGAAGGGGTTGAACCTCTACGGTATTATCCCTCATTTGTACGCCACTGCGTGTATTACTTTAGAGCCTCAGAGATCCAATTTCAAGCCTATATCGATGAATCTGAATCATTGGATGAATACATCATGAACTATGGACCACATCATAATTTATTTTTTCAACAGTCCGTGGAGCCTTTCAATGCGCGGGCCCCTGTGACACTGCATATCTCGAACTGTCTTCAAGCTAGCCCTGATGTAATATAATATACGTGTCTCGATTTACACTGCACTTTTGCCAGACTCTATAATGTAATAATTATTAATGCATTATGTTTATCAAATTTGATACTAATATGACACCTGTAGGTACCTGAAAATGTACGATTCCCAAGAACATATTATAAAATATTTTCGTCATAATGGTATAGGTATTATATATAAAAAAAAAAAATAACTAAACTTAAGCTAATAAGTTAGATACTTGTACATTTCCATTTCCATATACAATTTAACATAACTGAGTTAAAACTAGTTTTAACTATTTAAACTTTTTAAAATGTTTTCTATCAACTTAACTCAATTAAAAATTATCATTAACTTTGCCAGTCTCGGTAATAAATAATAATAGCTGGTTATGGTGTGCACCGCGCAGTATAGCCGTATAGGTAGGTCTGGCGAGACTAAAACGTGAGCATCATTTATCGGTATTTGGTTTCTTGTATATTGTACAAGTATACGACGGCTACCTATTATGTTAACGGTCGTATAGTGATGACTGATGACGTTGTATACATACAATAATTTAATTTAATAAATAAACTTTTATTTTGCTTGAAAACAAAAACCCTGAAACAAGTTACCTATTACTTATTAACTTTCTAAAATATTAAAGTTAACTACACAAATTGGTTCTGCCACTAAACGTTTTGCTGTTCTACGTTTTTAAGACACGTGTGATACACATCATGCGTGTAAATATTGCGTCTTCTTAATTCGAATCATTATTTCGCATTTCTAATATAAAAATAAAATATATTTATCGTACACGCTATTTTTGTAGCTTATGTAATAATGTGTACGTCAGAATATCAGACATAAAACGTATTGTAAATTGAATTCACAAACTTCTTCCAAATGTAAAAATAGTAAATATAAAATTGTGAAGTCAAAATTTATTTTTTTTATTTTTTAGTTTTGTCATGGCTGTCGATTACTTCCAAAACAAATATCCTGTTTCGATGGTAGTTTTCGATATGACGATCGTGTATATCATGGTGGCGTTTGTTGCCGTACTCACCAACAATCTGCTCGTCGAAACACTGTCTTTCACGTGTCGCATCAATATCGGTAGGCATACACACAATTGTCACAATTTAATATGGAACGCAATATCCAGACAATTTCCTTACACGATACCTAACTAATTCCGACGATTAATTTGTGTTTGGACATGTATAATACGTATAGTAATATTTTTACAGGTTATGGACTGACGATTTCGATGCTATTGTTCGTGGGTGCTGTGGAAATTTTGTGGGAGGAATTGTTCACTCTGGATACGTCATATTGCCTCAACTTGGTAGCCATTGGACTTATTGCATGGGGAGCGACAAGTAAACGAATTTTCAAAAGAAAACGATTTTAACAAATGTATATCTAAATGTATTTACCTACTACCTATGCGTATTTTCATTTGACAGTCCAACAGTCGAGTTTTTATGGATACACCAGTATACTGCCTATAAAATACACGCAGGCCGTCATGATTGGAGAAAGTTCGTACCTATATCCATAAATTACGGTTAAAATAGATAAACGTAGAAAATATTAGACTATATTAGAAGAATATAGTTAAAAACATTTAACAGCGTTGCATGTCAATATAATTTATTGTATATATTATACTAATACTATACTGTCTATACTAGATTATTTTGATTCGTAGTTCAAATGTTTACGAATATAGGTATAATTTTTTTGTTTTTTTTTATTGAGCTTAAGCCCGACAACTGAATGGCGGACATCCCCCCCCCCCCGTTTTCGGAGTAGTAGGACATTTCCCCCCCTATATATTTTTGATGTGGACATTTTCCCCCCGTTTTTTTTTGTTTTTTTTATTTTTAATTATTTACCTTCGAATATAAAATTATTATTTTTAACACATATTTTATAGTTTTTGTTCATATTTTTCTTCTTTTTTTTTGTAAAAACTGTACGTTAGCTAAAACATCTTTAATCTTTATTTCAATAAAAAAATAATAAACAATATTTATAACAAGTTAAGTAAAAATATAGTTTTAAATAAAAGTAAAATAGTATAGTACACTAATATTGAATTAGATGGGTAACATTGAAATCTAAAATTGTGTCCATAAGCCAGTAAATTACTAAGACTATTAACATAACATTCTCATACAATCTTACATCGTCATGAGCATTGAGTCATTATTTTATATCAAAACTGTTCAAAACAGTTTAGTAGTAGTTTAGTGGTTATATTGTGGTTATAAACGTTTTAAAATAAAAATTCTTGTTTTAAATTTTTTTTTGTGGTCATGGATAAAATACAAATTCTTAAAACAGACAGAGGAGGTTTAAAAATTGTTTTAAAGACTATATATATATACAGAACAAAAAAATGGGTGTGTGTGGAAAAAAAAAGAAAAATTGTAGAGGTAGTGACTCAGTGGCGCCGAACACGGGGTATAGGTCGGGCGGTCGCCCGACCAAATTTTTTGGGTGGTGGTGGTGGTGGTGGAGGTGGTCAAGTGGGTGGTTGTAAATAATAATAATATTATGCTATACTTCTTATAGATATTATATTATTGTTTCATAACACGTAATCAATTAATTCCGTTAGCCATTTTAGAATATAATAACTATTAACTAATAAGCAATACGGTAGGTACCAATTATATGCAGTAAGACCTGTGTGATGTGTACAGCGTAAATAACTATATAATATTGTTATAAATGTACCTATATAATAATTAATATTATGTTGGTATGGGTACTACGAAGTACGAACTATTGTCAATTCTGATAATTCTATTTATTGTATTAATACAGCTATTATCATTATTAATAAATGGTTGGCCCGTGGACGATGATGTTAATAATATCATGTAATAATATCATATCTATGTACGGGAAAAATAAATAAAGTCTATTAGATTCTGAGTGAAACGATGAATGTATTGATTTTACAATGATGTGTGTTTTTTTTTTTATTAATTTTTTTTTTTATTTTTTTTTGTATCTGTCATCACGTTTTACTACAGTAAATGTGCTTGGGTTTTCTTCAACAGTATCTTTTCTGATAGGAAAGTGAATCTAGTTGGTACTTTGGGGGGTCAAAAGTAAAAATGTCCCAGTAGTTTTCACAAGCGCCGGGAAAAACAACACAAAAATTAAGGAAAAACGGTAATATTTACGCAAAATCAGTTTTCCAAAAAATCGATTTTGGTTTTTGGTGTAACTCTAAAACAAATGAACAAATTTTATTTGTTGCTTAAAAAAGCTTGACAATTTAATAGAAGGCTCCTAGTATAATATTGTTTCAAAGGCAGATAAAAAATATTAAAAATCCTTAGTCACAATTTTTTTTTATAAGCATTTAAAGTTCAAAAATTGACAAAATATGGAAAAATCACGAAAATTAGTAAATTATTTTGAGTTAAGAATTCGTAAAAATTTTTCTTTTTAAATCTAAGATTTGAAAATGTAATACAAGATTCCTTATAAGATTATCTACCTTTATCAAAAAAAAATGTCTATAAGAAAGTCAAATTAAATTTTTATGAACGTTTGAAATTCAAATTTTTACAACATTGGATATTCACTCGATTTCTCATGTAGCGATTTCCTTATTTTGTTGTAATTCAAAAACGAACAACTGTAGGTACATGAAAATTTCACTGAATGTTTAAATTAGCATTTTCTATACACCATACAATTTTGAAAATATTTTGATTCTTTTTGAGCTGTTTACGGACATTTTCAGTTTTCATTTTTTTTAGTTTTTTTTTCTATAAATATCAATTAAGTTTTATCTGTTGGGCCAAAATGATTATGATAAACAGATTCAAATACCATCAGTCAGTGAGATTTTACCAACTGACACTCTTACTGCAGGTAATCATAAAAATTATTTATCTACTTATAATTTTAAAATGTATTGGAATTTTGTAAAATTTTAAAATTTAAAATTATCAATTTAGTAAAACTATAAATGTAGGAATTATTGTGATTTTTAATATAACCATTATAACCTATACCCAAAATATAAATTGTTATAAATATATTATATATTTATATATTGTATTAGGTATACCTATTATATTATATTGCTTTCAAAGTTTCAACACAAATCAGTCAAAGATTTACTAATAAAACTATTGAAGTAATGAAAGATTTTGCTTTATTATCAATCAAACGTATAAAAGCATTAAAAAAAAACCCTAAAAGCATTCCTATAGATGCATTTAAGGCTGTTTGTTTGGTATATAATACATTATTAAAGTTAGAAGATGTCCGTAGGCCGTAGGGACTAGGGAGTATGAACAGTTTATAAATTGTGATTTAATTGTTAATGAAACTTTTCCACTGTATCTGCATCCTAATTTAAATTATGACAATTCAAGTTTGAGCTCTAACGATTCAAACAGTGATGATACTACATCTGAACAATTAAAAAGGTGGCAAAATTCATCAAGTTTAATGTGTGTTTTTCAAGATTTCTGTAAAGCTGGTTTAAAATCTATTTTCCCAAGTTTATTTATGCTTATAAAAATTGGAGTGACTATTCCAGTATCAAGCTGTTCCCCAGAGAGATCTTTTTCCAAATTAAAATTAATAAAAAGTCGTTTAAGAAGCACAATGGGGGAAGATAGATCTGATGCGTATCACCTGTGAAGCTGATATACAGTTAGATTCAGAAACAATAATAGACAACTTTGCGACAAAATCTACAGTTTTAAATAAAAAATTAAAATACTAAAATAATCTAATTGTTTTTTGTAAATTTGTTTTTAGTGAATATTTTACTCTTTACTGTGATTATCATTAAAATAAATAAAAATTATTTATTTAAAAGTTTAAATTATTTTATTTACTATCTATTTTATTATATTATAATTTATAACTACCTACTACTATTAATATTTTATTTGTGAAATTCTATTATTAATTATTAGTTACTTATATTATTACAGTATTACAACTGTTTCAAGTTATGTGTACCTATATTATTAATTTTTATAATATATTTAAATAATTTTTAAAGAAATATATAAAAATGTGTGTTATTGTAAATAGAGGAATATTATTAAGGGGGGTATGGGGGGCAGAGCCCCCCATTAATTTGTAAAAATTTTTTTTGGGTACGTGGTGGGTGTATTGCCTATTTTGGAAAGTTTGCCCGACTATTTTAATACTGTCTCGGCGCCACTGGGTAGTGTAACAACTCCTTCCAGACTTTTCGCAATAGAAACGTCAAATTTATCAAACGAATTCATTATATTTTGTTTATACAATCTATTTTATTTTTATATCGGATTTTTTGGCCAGCTGTATTGTACTATATTATATTATTTAACAATCTTTTATTTAAAATTATATTTTTTCTTAACTTGTTTCAAATAATATTTATTATTTTTTTATTGAATTAAGATTAAAAATTTTTTAGTTAACTTACAGTTTTTACAAAAATAAAAAAAATAAATATGAAAGAAGCTAAAAAATATGTGTTAAAAATAATAATTTTATATTCGAAGGTAAATAATATTAAAAGTAAAAAACAAAAAAACGAGGGGGCAACCTCATACCCCGGCAACTATATAGTCATTAGCTGTTTTTTTTTTTTTTGGTATGGGGGAGGAACGGTTAGAACGGTTGATAGAAACACGTTTTGCATGTGTGGCAAGGATTTGTAGTTAAAAATCGCGGGTGGTCACCCATCCGGGAGCTAGCAAACACCGGCCGATACGTACACTCTGAGCTCATTTCCGCAGTTGAGTGTACGGACCGAGCCACACCAAGCCACTATACTAATTTAATATACTGTTATGAATGTAATGATTGATTTAAAGGTGCTGCAGGGCTTTGGGTGTCCATTAACCGAATATTCACGAAAATGTTGACAAAGGACTTACGAGTAAGCACGTTCAGTTTCTTCGTGATAAGTCATCTGGTAGTGATGACGTCATGCGTGTTGTTCCAAATAGTGCAATCGTCTGATTTTGTCAAATTTTACATTGCCCGGAGTGAAGATTCGAAGAAAAAGATTTCATTGGAACCAACCGAAGAATATGTAAGATGATAATAATATGTTAATGTGACAATCTAAAACAAAATACAGCTAGTCATTTGTTATTGTTTAAATAAAACTATTACGACTAAAATTATATAGTTATTATACATCCCATGGCATATATTATTAGGTTCTCAAATTGAATTTATAGTCCAGGGACAACCGGAAGCCCAAAAAAAATATTTTTTAATAATTTGAGCTTTTTAAATAAATAATACATTTATTTCCATGACTACCTATTGCCAAAATAGTGAAATGTTGAGAAATTGTCGCACTTTCGACTTTCGTATACTATAACATACTATTAGTAATGAAACTATGAAAGGACGGAAATACCAAGCAATTGGGATTTAAATTTACTAACGTTGACGTCATATATTAAAACATAGTTATTATGGTTTGTTAAAAATTACACTGGTCGATAACTGATAAGTTATTAATCACAATATAAACACTGTTATAGTGTTATTATATTAATTATAAAATATTTCGACAATTCAAGCAGTCAAGCTTAACCATGATGTACAAAGTATATAGGTGTACCTATTAAAATAATAATAATACATTACCACATAACACGATTATCTAATTTAATAGCTTGTTTCCGTCTTTCCGACTATATTATACATTTATACTGATTATCGATGTGTAAAGATTTTATGTAAATGTAGTATGGTAATGTTAGGTTAGACCGTTATATGGCCTTAAGGGTTTTAGGTTTTACATTTTGCCCCCAGAGAGCTATTCTCTGCTGACGTCCTTTTTATAGTCATAACGAGTGATGAGTGCACTACATTCTAAATCATGACCAAAATAAATAGTTGTACAATTAAAATATTTAAAAATGTATTATTATTTACTTTTAAGTATATTTATATTATGATTTTTGAACCAAGTTTATATAATTATTGCATTTTAACTACTAACATAAATAATTAATAATAATAAAGTGTCTTACCTAAAATTATGATTGATTCTTGAAACAGTTTAAATCTCACTGAATTACCAAGAGATTTAACTGTAGGTTCATGCTCCTATATAGTTAGGCGAGTCTTCAAGGGGGTGAAGCGGGCGGACCCTGTTGCCTTCTCCAGTGCTCCATACGTAATGGCTTTTTAAAAACAATTCTTAATTTTTATAGATAATTGTTTGTAACTGTATATTGTATAATATAATATAAGTAATAAGTATATTTTAAGAATTCTATATTTGAGTATTTTATTGTTTTATCATATATATGTAGATCGATTCCGAACAATCCCAACCAGAACCATTTGCTGAAACTAGTTTAAGCACTGGAAAAATATTTAAAGACGAAAATGCATTTAGCTTTGCAAATCCTATGTATGATCCGAACGCAAATAGTGTGCCAACGTATAAAGTTGAAGACGTCATGGTACATGTCGAAACAGGAAGTTCTTTTAAGCTACGAAAATCAACCTTGTCTGAATTTTGGGATTCATTTAAGAGTAAGTAAAGATCAATAATGTAATCAATTGTATTAAATACGGGCTTTGTCCAAAATATAGTAGGTAATTACAGTAGGTACCTAATTTGTAGGTAAATGTATACATATAGTATAAGAGTACAACAAGTCAGTGGAAGTGAAAATCCAGTTTAAAAAAGGAAAGTATGGTGAACATTAGCTAGGTGCATCATACGGTTGGATTTTTGCTACTAAAATTATTAGTGGTAGGTGTTTGTACGTTTAGGAATAGTAAATGGGGCAATGGTATGATTAATTTTTAATTATTTTGTTATTTAATTGTGCATATTATACAATTTAAAATTACTTTGATGACAATACAGTGGCACCAAACACTGATCAAATTGTTAGCCTCGTCTTGCAAAACTTGAAATTAGGCTAATATGTTCAAACACTGCAGTCTATCGTTTTGAAAACGATTACATATACACAGTCAACTGTGTCAGTGACCAGTGTATTATTTACATTTTATACAGCAACATCGATGCACATTACCTATAGGAAAGAGGAACAGAATACTTTTTTAAAAGACATTTTTCATCACTAAACAAAATGTTAATCATTTTTATCATTTATCAAACATACTTATACTATACTGTCTTTATACCTACTGTATAGTACTGTGTTTTCACTCAGCATCTTTTAAAATTGGCACTGGACTTGCAACCGACTCTGAAATAGTGAAAAAATAGAAAATGTTTTTGGGATTGTATTAATTTTTTCATTAAAAAAAGACTAAAAATACCTAATACTATCTTATATACTAACGAAATCTCTTTGGTTGGAATGTAATATAATAATTTAAAATCCGTCACGTCAAAATATGTCTACGTCCACACAGAATCTTTAAATACAAAATTATTTTTACTGCATAATATATTATTATATAGGTATATATTATCAAAGTTATAATTACGATGTTAACTACAGGCGGATATAAGTTGAGGAAAGAAGTATCGAAGATCATATGGAAACAAATGTTGGCGATTTTCCTTTGCTACTTCGTGACGCTGAGCATATACCCGGGAGTACTTTCCGATCTAGTCAGCCCGAGATTTGGCACGTGGATGCCCGTACTCGTAATGACTGTATTCAACCTATTTGACCTTATGGGAAAGGTAAGTGGTAATGCACAATAATTTTGTACATCAACGTCGATAACATCATACAAAATTATCCCTCGAAGCGATGTAGTATTAACTATATTGAGGAGAGCATAGGCGCAATAAGCCCCCTAAAATATTCCATTAGCACCCCCCCCCCCCCCAAAAAAAATCAGAGAGCTGTTTAGTTGTGTATGAGCGAAGCCGTGGTATACACTATGTTAAAAATGTTAGCCACCCTAAAATTGTATTGGATTACCGCCTAGGATTGAGTGTATTAAAACAACACATGTCTATAGTTTTGTAAGTTATGAATTATAAGAATGAGAACCTTATCTAAAGAATGGTACCTATCTCTATTGACTGTTTAACAGTACCTATTAGTGGGTATTACTTATACCTAAAGTTATTAGTTATTACCATAAAATGGGGTAACTCCGGACAGAATTTACTATTTTTTTCGAATATTTATGAAAATAATAATCTGAAATTGTGTGAAAAATGTTCAAATGTTCAATACAGCCAATACATGTAAAAAAATAATTATAGGCACCTAAAAATTATATTCTTGAAACTAGAACTTTTATATAAAGTTTAAGATCGTTCGGAGTTAACCGCAGAATGGGGTAACACCCGACATCCATATAAATATTAAATTCATAGAATAACGATGTTATACATAGCGTTTATCTCCGGACTATATTTCACTTTTTTTAAAAACTATTGATGTTGAACAATAAATTATTTTACTTTGTTAAACACATTTTAATAAGAGAAATTTATAAATTCTAATTAATATAAATTTAAAAGTAAATAAAAATAGATTTATTGATCCCAATCTTTAAAAGAAAAACATTTCGAATTAAATGAATTAAAAATTTAAGACATCCTAGATTTGTTTTAAATTAACTTGTATAAATATTCATTTGTATTTTATAATGGACAAAATTACAAATTCATTGAAAAAGACCATGCTTCAATAGGTAACATTAACAAACAATTTTTTGTTATTTTCATCAATTTTGAATTAAAAAATAGAGTATTTTGATTTTTGAATAAACTAAATACTAATATACCAATATTTTTTAATATAATCGTTTACCTTGATAATATCAATGTCCACCAATGTAGTTTTTTTGTTCGAAATACCTACCTATATAATATTTTGTAACAAAGTTCTCAATTTACCAATTCCCTATTATCAGAAATATCCAATATAAATGAAAAACTGTTTTTCCGAATTTACACCGTAAGTCCGGAGTAACCCCATTTTACGGCAAGAAGGTACTTATTGCTTATTACTCGTTATTAGTTACACTTATGGCGATACGTATACTTATGGTAATTATTATTGTATTTTACATTTTTATACCTATCACCTATGCCCTATATTATATGTATTAGTTATTGGGAGCTTATTCCTACGAACGATGGGATGACAAAATACTGAAGAGCACCAAAAAACGTCTGTTCATGATTCCCGCCATTCTTCTAATCGTATTAGTTCAACATCCATTCCACACGAAAATCATCAGTGAATTCATGATTGTTCTGCAAACGGCCGTGCTCGGCGTTACCAATGGCATCACCGGCAGCGTTCCAATGATTTTCGCGCCGGCAAAGGTCGTCGAAGAACGACGAGAACTTGCAGGTAAATATAAAATACCATTGAGTTCTTAAAGATATGTTTGTTTTTACATTTAATAGTAGATATAGGTAGGTATCTTATATACCTATATAGGTAGGTACTAGGTAGGTACCTCCTTAAATATCAGAATTCAGATAAATTCTCATACAATCAAAGGATATGATAGTTCTATAGTGGTAGTGCCCGTATTGAGATTAATGGGCCGGGTGGGGTTGAGCGCTCAATATATTAATCGCTCCACTGAAGCACATAGGGCGTAACCACAAAGAGAAGTATTAGTCTAGGTACGAATCTACGCACTATATGTACCTACTATATAACTATAAAAGCATATATGGCGTCTAGCACAGTGATGCCCAACCTGTTTCCTCGGCGGTCCACTTTGATAAACAATTATCTTCGAGCGAGCCACCAAGGGATAAACGTACGAATATAATTCAACTGCATTCCAACCAGCTTTTTCATTATTAGTAAAAGAAACACAAGCTCAAATTTCAAGTAAAATAAAATAGTGTAAAACATTTTTATATAGGTACTTTTCAGTTGTATTATTGTTACCAACTATTATTATCGTATTTGGTTTTATTTAAAAAAAAATTTGTAACGAGCCATATAGAATACTTCCGTCGACCACATGTGGGCTCTGGCAGCTACTAAATACTCACAAATAATAGTTGTAGATACGACCTACCTATGACTTATAAGTACATAATACCTAATATATGATGTATAAATACATACTAAACCTATCTATACCTTATACCTACCTATATATATAATATATAAGAACGGGCAGTAGCAACCACAATATATTATATAGGTTATATTATTCGGTCCGTTCGGCATACCTATATACTAGTCGTCTGTTGTCACGCAGGTAACATAATGACGATATCGTACATAGCCGGTACGACGGCGGGTAGCGTGTTCGCTTACGTGCTGGACCGGTTCATACACTACGAGATCGGCTTCTCGGTCAGCTGGTCCGGCAGCGATTACCACAAGATGTTGGCCGCCGGAGCCTCGATGGTGGAATCCATGGAGCATTTCAACAGCAGTATCCTCCAAGACATAATATTGGACTTGGGCAACGACACAGGGTCGCCGCCTCTGCAATCGACGGTCGGGAGTATCGGCAATCTGCTGCTGTCGCGGTCGGCCGGCATCAATTCGACGACGAACGCGTTCCCGGGATAACCGCGACAGGTGTTAAGCCCACCTGTTGCAGGACGCCGCGTGTACATAAAACTACCTAAATAATTACGATATTATTATCGTTTATTTTTTTTTTTTCTAAATTATTAATATATTGTATTATAATTACGTTTAACGCGCCTGGGCGGTCGAAGAGTCGATAGGAAATGGCGCTACATTATAATATAATACATAGTATGCCGTGATAATATTGGCAATGTTATTGTTCAGACCTGCACTGATTAAGGTGTGTCCGTGTCGGTTTTTCCAATTTTCCGCAATTCTATAAAATTTGAAAATTATATTTTATATTTGTGTTGCTACCTAAATTAAAATACTTTTCCAGTTTTCCACTAATCTACTGTTTTGATACGGTGTATTATATCAACAAAAATGATTTGACAGGAATAATCTCTCACTCTTCATTGATAGGTATATATCGTATACCTATATCGAATTTTGAAATATTCCGAATATTCTTCAGGGCGTTTTTCCTGTAAACATGTTCATGTATTAAAAACGTACCGGCTCCGATGCCCTTAATTCATGGTTCAGACCTAAAACCTCGACAGTTATTCTTGCCGGTTATTGATTAATACCTACTTGAAGTGTCAAGTGAGTTATAATGAGTGGATATAATATGTAGTGTTTATGTGTGCGTCTGGGCGGGACTTACGACGTCGGATGTGTAGGTAGTAGGTACTTAATATTTTTACAATAATGATGCTATACCTATTTACATAACACAATTATAGGTACTCTCGTCCGTACGATAAAAACTATTTTTCAGAAAACATTCACTTTATAACACATTTTTTCCCACTCAACCCTTCAAATTATTGATATAATTGGACATTGTTGATCACGTCTGTATTTATTGAGACTCGAGATATATTTTTAATAATAAATTATTATTAGTCCCCGGTAGACGGTCTGTCGGTAGTGTTATCGGACTATGCATATAATATATTTATATCATTTTATGCAGACGATTTATTACGCTTTTTTGCGCGAATTTTCGATTTGACCAGTGTTTTAAATTATAATAATCGCATGTTATATGAGTATATGACATGTTATTTTAATTCATACTTAAGACGTTCGATTTTTATATACCTAGTACCTGCCACAATCCACTGAAATAGGTAGGTTCCAATATCTTTATGTTTAGTCTATATAAATATATATCTGCCTTGAATACAAAAATCAAAAAGGTCGTAATAACATAATATGCTATATCTAACTTATATAATGCCTCGTTACCTCTTCTTATACTTAGGTAGGTACTGTATTGTTGTGTACGTTTTTATTTTGTATGTTTAATAATAATAATAATTTACGTTTGCAACAATAAATACAATGTTTTTTTTTTTTTTTTTTATAACACCATTGCACTGTCAAAAAATTTAACAATATACGTTAAATAAACGTATTTTACGTTATCGTAAAAACGCCGGTTATCGAAGGAGGGACGTTATTGCTATATTAGTTAAGATCGTATTATCCAAATCTTTTTTGCAGTGGTTTGAGACTTGAGGTATGACCAGTTTGTTTGCAGATATAGCATAACACGGTGTCGTCCGAAAAGAATATGGGGTAATCGGTTTGATCGTAATTAATTAATAATGAACTCGGCAGTTTATGGATATCGTCGGGGTGTAAATATACTTGTCTACAGTGGCGTAGCCAGGGGGGGTTTGGGTGTTTAAACACCCCCCCATAAACATTTCCCCCCTAATAAATATATTGTTTATAGGGTTCGGGACTGCTTGCATGTTTCATTGTAGTGGTAGTAGGTTATTTTAGATAAGTTATATATTTGTCTTATCAAACGAAGTTTGAATTTGCAGATTTTTGAATATTGTAGGAAAATTGTACATTTGAGCGATTTTTCGCATATTTGGAATTTTAGATTCTGAGTGGAACGATGAATGTATTGATTTTACAATGATGTGTGTTTTTTTTTTTTTTAATTTTTATTTTTTTTTGTGGCTGTGTACACGATAAGTAGTCGAAATAATGCTTTGATTTTCAACTTCAGTATCTTGTTCGATTGGAAAGTGAATATCGTTGGTGCATTGGGGAGGTCAAAATTTAAATTTCGCAGTAGTTATCAAAAGCGCCGGGAAAAACAAAAGAAAAATTAAGGAAAAACGGGAATTTTTAAACAAAATCTGTTTTCGAGAAAATCGCTTTTGGTTTTTGGTGTAACTTTAAAACAAATGACCGTAGATACATGAAATTTTCAGTGGTTATTTATATTTGCATTTTCTATACACGATAACATTTTCAAAATATTTTGATTTATTTTGAACTGTTTAGGGACATTTTCAGTTTCCAATTTTATTAGTTTTTTTTTATGAATATCAATAAAAATTTATTTGTTGAGTAAAAATACTTGAAAACTTAATACAAGGTTCCTACTATATTGTTTCAAAGACAGATGAAAAATATTAAAAATCGTTAGTCACAGTTTTTTTTTTTAAGCATTTAAAGTTCAAAAAATGACAAAATATGGAAAAATCACGAAAATTTGCAAATTATTTCGAGTTAGAAATTCATAAAAATGTTTCTTTTTAAATCTAAGATATGAAAATCTAATACAAGATTCCTTATAAGATTGCCTACATTTATCAAAAAAAAAAATTCTATAAGAAAGTCAAATTAAATTTTTATGAGCGTTTGGAATTCAAATTTTTACAACATTGGATATTCACTTGATTTCTCATGTGGCGATTTCCTTATTTTGTTGTAATTCAAAAACGAATTACTGTAGATACATGAAAAATTCACTGAATGTTTATATTAGCATTTCCTATACACCATACAATTTTGAAAATATTTTGACTCTTTTTGAGCTGTTTACGGACATTTTCAGTTTTTTTTTTCTATAAATATCAATAAAGTTTTATCTGTTGGGCCAAAAAGTGTAAAAAATTAATACAAGGCTCCTGATATATTGTTACAATAGCAATTGAAAAATATTAAAAATACATAGGCACAATTTTTTTTTATAAGCATTTAAAGATCGCATTTTGACAAAATTTATCAAAATCTCGAAAATTATCAATCATCGTAATTAATAAATTATAAAATGTTCAGTTTTTATAGCTAAGGATTGAACATTTAAAAAAAAGATTCTCATAAATAGTTCATACTCTAGCCAAAAAATATATGAGCACAGTTATTTTTTACAGACATTTTAAATTCATATTTGGACAAAATTACATATTAAAATCAATATTAACGATCTTGGTTTTTTGATGTAATTTAAAAATATTATTCGGGGATATATGAAACTGAAAAATCAAAATATTATGGTCTATCCATACAATCTACCATATTATAAGGAATAAAAAGTATGCTCAATGACAAGACTGTGTATATTTTAAAGGGCAATGAATAATTTATTCATAAATTCCATATAATTTAATAACATAGATAAGTATTTAATGTCTTATACCTACTACCTAGACTGACATACAGTCTCCGCTCAGAATCGTTTTTCTTATACAATGATACTATATCATTGAATTCAAATTTAATACCATCCATTATACAGTGACCCACTTGTAACCTACAGTACAGCAGAGCGACATCCACTTACCCACCTTTTTTTAACTTAAATGTAGGTACCTACAATACAATTGTTGGGAAAAATCATATTTGGATAACAGTGTGTTGCGTAATGCGACTTATGTGTTACTGCTATCGGAAGCTAAGAAATGCGATAAGCGAAGACCGAGAACATACGTGTGAATCAGTCGTTGGTTACAAACGTACTAACCAATAATTGTAAAATAAAAAAGGGCCCGATTTTGTAGCAATTTGCATATATCCAGATTTTTGCCAGGTCGGCTAATCACTAACAAGTAATAAATGTATGACTATAGTCCTAAAACCCTGACTAAGGGTCTCTACAAGTAGATTGGTATACATTTTACAAGTTTCATTAACTGATAATTTTAATGTATGTAAAATGTTATGACAAATTGTTATCTCAGAGATTATTAAAAATAACCTTGGTACCAGTGGCGCAAATAAAAATATTCCTTATTGATTTAGATATAAGCCACCTATGGGTTATTTTAAATTAATAGTTTTGTTGGGTGGGCTCCCCAGAATTTTGATTCTAGTTGCGCCTATGCTTAGTACCTAATTGTCATTTTTAAGTTTTATTAAATTAACTCTGTGGTAGTAATACAGTATTATCTCTTTATTTATAATTTTATTTACAAAATATTTATAATTAAGGTAATTAAAGCCAATTTTATAGCATAAAAAAATATTTTATTTACAATAATGTAATACTAATTACATTTTACAATTACTATAAAAAAAAAAAAAATCCATTATATTGTAAACATAAAAATATATTAAGTAGTATTACAATGTTCTAAAACCAATACAACATACTTGAACAAGTAATTAATAATATACTGTTGATTATAATTCAGATAATTATCTACTATAAGATACATACAATTTGATAAAAAAGTCAATTTTTGGTTTTGATTTTAAGATGACTTTTTAAACACAGTAGGCATGCATTAAACTATACAGGCTTCAAGTCATTAAATTAAAATTGTCTTTTTTAAACAAGTTCTATAATTCTTGTACAAAATTAACATTCTATTATGTACATTATTCAGCAATATTTTCTACTTAACAGTTAACTTCTTACTTAAACATCTTAAATAGTTTTTTTTGTAATTAATATATTAACGCATACTTTAAATGTAGTTAAAACATTTTTTTTGTTCATTTTTGTACATTATAAATATGGTACTATCATTATCTTAATTATTTTGAAAGTAATTTTATTAAAAACATGCAATAATAATCATAAAATAAATAATAAATATATATATTATTCATATAAGTTTGATAATTTAATTCTGAACATTAATAAATGGAATTAAAATTAAAATTTGAAGATTCCTTCAGTTACTGAGAAATATATATATAAATCAAGTACATAAATAAAAACAAATTAAATTAACTTAAAATCTAACACAAATTTAAAAACATTATTGGTGATTGAAAGATGTAACGGAGACTTTCATGTTGTTTTACTAGTTCCTCATTACAGATCCACCACTGGGTTGATCATTTATAAGCTTTCGATCACCAATAATAATTTCTATTAAAATAAATAAATTCAAAATATTTTTGGTATTAAATTCCATTTTGCTAGATATGCACGATCCCACCTATCACCACACTGGAAACGGTAGTGGGTAGAAATACGCACACATTGGTGGGACAAAGTAATTATGTAATACAAAGGATATAAAAGTACAGGCCAAGATGCTTGCAAACTGCCAAGGTTAGGTTCAAATATTGGCAAGATTAAGGCTAAATGTACAAGTATTGTGCCTATGTAATTAGGATACCTCACGTATGACCAAAGACCATCTACATTAGTTCTTACATCTATAAACAAAATGGTGATTAATGATATGAAAACAAGTATTTATAAAAATAAAATGTATTACTTACAAGAAGGCTTATAGACAAATGACAAGTTTTTTTCATACTGATATTTAGTAAAATCACTATAACGTTGACAGATATAGCCAAATAAAAAGATAAATGAAGAAATACTCAAAATGATATAATTAACTGGTCTAAAACAAACAAAATATATGGTGATTAATGAATATGATTTCAGGAAAAATATTACACTTAACTTACAAATTGTCTGTAAGTAAAATTTGAATGGGTAAAAAATTGATAATCGGTTGTAAAAATTGTTGAATAATAGTCCAATATCCATCTTTTTCATTTTGTAAATAAAACGAAGACAATAAATTAAACTCAAAAATCAGTTTATCTATAGCATAGAATATTTGAAGTCCAGCAACAAAATAAAGATGAATATTAACAGGATTTTTAAGAGAGTCCATAATGACAAGGTAATTGAATAAAATCTGCAAAAAAAATAATAATAATTGGGTGAATTAGGCACAGAAAAAAAATATTTTATTTTTTAGTTTAAACTTACAGTCATCAATGTTGAATATCTACAAAAAGCCAATTTGATATTAATAGGCCCTAATGTAGGGTTAATTGTTGTTCCAATAAACAATTTTTGGACAAAATTAAAAGAACTATTGTCAATTTTATTTGTGTACTTAGCTTTTATAAACAAAATTATGGAAATAATAAATGTGTATAAAACTGATGCTACAATATGAGGTACAGTCTTTTTAGTCACTATTTCTAAAACAAAATTTATTGGGCAATTGTAATAATCCATAGCCCAAATAATCAAACCAGCTATAATTAAATTGAAAAAACCTAAAATGAAAACATTTACAATTAACATGAATCAACAAATTATACTTAAGTAACTAACCTGAAAACCTGTAGTAGATGAAATTAAAGTCATCACCTAGTGATAATCTTGTTAATGATTTAGATTTTTTTGCTAAAGGTACAAGTGATATTAACAATTGAAGAAACACTGAAGCAGCAGTCCATATAAACACATCTTGATCATAATAGTTTGCTAGTCTTAAATAACCACGAGGAAAAGGTATTAAATTTCCTTTCTGAAAAAAAAACATCATGATTAAGATCATTAAAATTTATAAAATTGAAATATTTTAATTACAGTTTTTATAGCAATTTTGTGAAGGACAACTATTATTGGTAATAATGCGGACAATATGATTTTGCCAAATGTTCCTCCAAATTCTACAGGATAAGTCTTGCTTGTTATATTATTTGACAATTTGATTTCATCATCAGATTCATCATTGTAATCCAATCTTGATCTTGGAGATGATGATGTTACAGATACCTTTAAACAAATTTATAAAAAAATATCAGATAACTCTAAAATAATTACAATTAAAATTCACTATAAAAATTAGTTAAATTATATATTAAAGGAAAGCAATTTTACCTTGGGTTAGTGTTATTTTCATACACTGAGAGGAGGGTCAAAAGGAAATTACCAATCCAGGGCATATTAAAATAAAAAATAATCATACTATTTATAAAAAAAACACGTACATGCCTATACTGTCTAATGAAAGAATAAATTGATGCTAAGCATCCCCACTCTACATCAGTTCCATAATGGCAAAGGGACGCTCGTGAATTCGAAAAAGAAATTATAACTACCTCAATTCACTATACTAAGGCCCACGAGTAAAAAATACGTCTGTCGCTGAGATTCGACCCTCCTTCCATATACTGAACCATACCAATCGGAAGCCTGTTGGCAAAGATCGCCAACAGGCATTGTTGACATTTGTGTATACGTAGCGACTACTGTAACAACGATTCCACAATTTGTTTTTATAACTAACTTTTATAAGTTAAAACATATTTTTTTTATCCCACATCTATCACTATGTTTATAACAAAAAATACTGGTTATAATATTACACAATATGACCAATGCGGAGACGCAATGCATTAGCTGTGCTTTTGTGAGCTGCTGTATACACATTGGCAAATAGTGGGAATGGTACCATGGTGGGAGAAAAGCTAGAAAACCTCGCTATCAGACTCGGACTCTCATGGGCGTCAACTACTCGTCCTAAATTCAATGTTTCTGTACGATATACTTAGAAGAATATTCTGCTTTGGAATATGAAATTAAAACTGAATGGTATCATTAAAAAACTGAAAAATTAAGGAAATTTGATGATAAAAAAGTTTTTAAAGACCAGAAACCTGTACATTTTTTTTCAAAAATATTAAATTTATATTTTTTAAAAAACTAAGTGTTCTATGATAAAAGAATCGTCCAGTATAATATTATACATTATAATATATTTCTATTGTAACTGAGTTACAGATTTTTAATTTATTTAAAGTAAATATGAAACATATTTTAACAGTTTAAGTATTAAGAGAATATTTTAAGGTTTTTTTAAGAGTATATTAGATCATATTTTAAACTTTTAAGAACCTAAAAATCTGCACTTAACACATCATTTAGTAACATACAGTATACCTACTAATGTTTATCCGTGAAAAAAATTCTATTTTAATTCAACTGATTAAGAACATTTAAATTAATATTTTCAACATTTTATCAATCTATATTATTTGAGAATGAAATACATACATTGCCACTTATATTGAGCTTAGCAGGACTAGTTATTGAGGTAACTTCTTTCACAGGTGTTTGGCTCTTTCTTGAATTTGAATCAACAAATTCAACAGAGTTTTTATCTATAAGTCAAAATGAAATAGATAAATAGAAGGTATCACAAAAAAAGTTTAATAATATTACTTTTGATTTCTTTCTTTTTGAAAACTAGATCTTCTGGTTTAATATTATAACGTTCTAGAACAACTCGAGGACCGGTCTTAACAACAGTCTTATTAGCTGATCTGGATCGAGTTCTTATTCTTCTCTCTACGGATTTACTTTTGCTTCGAAGACGATTGACCGGTTTTTTAGATTTAGATGGTGTTGCTGATCTTTTAGATTTAGATGGTGTTGCTGATCTTTTAGATGGTGTTTTTGATCTTTTAGATGGTGTTATTGATCTTTTAGTTCTTGACGTTGTTTCAGCATCGCTCGGTGAAGCGATCCCTTCTTTCCTTGATCTTCTAGTTAACATGGCAATCTTAAAAATAAATAATTAAAATGATTTATTTATTTTTATGTTGTATAATTCAATACAAACATTATCCTAAAGTTGCAGAACAAACATTTTTCCATGGCATAAATAGTTAAGCCATGCAATTTTCGATAAAATACCAGTAAAGCCCCGTTCACACGATCAAATAATTTGTCAAACATTTGACATTCGTCAAACTCCAAATATTTTAGAACCGTTTCTAAAATATTTGAAGTTTGACATAGGTACATCAAATATTTAATCGTGTGAACGGGGCTTAAAGGAATACAAGAATATAGAAATATTAACGTATCTTTGGATAGATTATGGTTGTCACTTGTTGAACGACTGTCAAATAACAACACATATCATTGTACCTATAGTCGATAACATAATTACCCACAAGAATTAATTCGAAGCAGGAAATGTCCAAAAACTATAAGAAAAATCAGAACATGTGACGGTGAATCACAATATTAGAGAGCAACACCACAGAAAAACAGTCATGGTAACTGGTGCAAAATGCGAATTGTGAACGGGGGGTGTAAAAAAATTCACCGCGTAGGTAATTTTCGGCGGCGGCGGTGACGTTGCCAAATCAAAAATAACGAAACCCTCTATTTACAGACTCCGGGAGACCTCCAACAACGAAGAAAACCTCGTGACGATGGAGAATTTAAAAAACGACGACAAAAATTCATTCCCCTCCCCCAAAAAAAAAACGCTTAGCGAGCGTTTAACCGTTTTGGTCCGCGGTAATTAAAAAAATCGCCTACCGAAAGGACGGGAAACGATTTTCGTCGCCGGAAACAACGTAATCGGATGTCTTACCTGTGCACCTGTGCGTCCCAAGAAGAAAAATGTTTCGTCAAATACGTAAGTACTGCGCGACCGGCCACGGAACCACACGGACGGGTAAAAAAGTAAAAACACGTAAAACACGTCAAACCCGAAAACGAGGGAATCTCAAATTGTCAACTGATCGGATTATCATGAAAACGGTCGGACCCGGTGGTAAACAATGACGATGACGCCGCGCCGGCGCACGCTATTGGTCAATTTTTCAATCTGTTGTGTTTTCGTTCCATGAGAGGCTGGTTTGTTTGTCCGTTTGGCTTGTTTGTCCGTCCGCCGTTATAAAATAATTGGTTTCCTTTCCCGCGTGCTTTGAACGATCAACGGACAAACAGCCCCCCGCGCGTGCGCGGGCTGCGTACCACCGCCACGGGGCGTCGAATTCGTGGACCGGCGGCCGGGAGCCGGTTTATTTTTCAGCGTATATAATTTTGTTGTTGGTATTTGTGTGCGTGTATGTGTATTGTGTATAACCTCGCCACTACTTCGGCGATACCACCGAATACCGAATTACCGACAATCATCGTCCGCTGCGTCGTACACGGCAAAACTAACCTTCGCCAAGATTTTTAACACGTTTCGGTCTCGGACCGATCATCAACTATCGAATTTATTAATTATTATTATTGTACTGAATCGAAATTCACATTAAACAATAATATAATATTCTAGATAATTACAATATTTTTAAACAACTTTTTCCGTATTATTATTTGTTTTACTAGTTAGTTAACTACTAAGTCCCGTCTACATGAAGACTGTACTGTCGTGGTAGCACTACCGTGATAATAAATATATTGTGATAGACATAAGACATATTAGTAACATCACGGACTAAGATAAATCTTATATCTTAGTCCGTGAGTAACATATAATATTATGTAGGGGTGACGGAGTGGCCGAGCGGGCTAAGGTGTCGGTTGCGACGCACACTGACTCCGGTTCGATACCTCGGCCATTGGTGGCATTTTTCTTCGGGCAAGTCACATAGTCACAATGTCCGGAGAACAAGTGCCGCCATCCCCCACCCGGGCATGGCAGATACCTACGGGTGCCCAAATCAAAAATTCTGCCAAAACAAACACACTCGTGTTCCTCCCCCTACCAACAAAAAACAATAAATAGCTAATGGCCTTAGTTTCCGGGCTCAAACTTCATAAAAAAAAATAATAATAATTATGTAGGTATTGATTAAGGCAAAAGATTTTTAGAATAGATTTTTGTCATTAATGATAATTTTTGTGAAATCGGTTAATATGATACTTTGTCAGCAATAGTTTTGTATGCCACCCATATGTGCGATTTCAACTTTTGACTTGGGGGGGGGGCTGAATCTACTAAGGCTAGCAGACCATACAATATAGCATTTTAAAATTGTATGTCCTAAGTTTTAGCCCCCCCTCCCCCCACCAAAAAATGTGCGCCTATGATGACACCCCTCCCCATGTCGGATGTTTCTGTTGCCTTCCCTGGATGTGATTATGCTAAGTATATTTTATGATAAAATATTATTGCTATTAAAGTAATTTAGGTACTAACTACTAATCCAAGCGCCTCATGGACCGTATGTTTTATATTGCCAAATATTAAGTTTAAGTACCTATATGGTGGAATGTGCTGTTGTAATATTCGTAAAACTGTGTTATTACTTATTTCGGATATGTTGTTGTATTGATAAGTTTTGTCGCACTGCCTCGTAATTAGTTTAATATTAAAGAATGTTTACAATCGTAAAATGCTTAATAAATAATAATCACAAGATTAGGTTCACAAGTACATGTTTGGTTATTTGTATTTGTTTGATTGTGAATTAATTGCCGTGAGATGCACAGTCAAGTTTTTAATATTTTCAATATTAATTAATTGCTTAGATCAGAATCTAAAATGTGTATACCATCGTTTATGTAATACTGTAATAGGGAGTGGACCAACGGGTTATTTTAAGTTAAGAGCAAATGTAATTTTATAAACAAAAATACACTTTACGCCTTACTGGAATAATTATTATTTATTACCCTGTCCTGTACAATCTGTACTCCTGAAGGAACAACCAAATTTGATTATTTTTTTTTTTAAAAAACTGATAGAGAGTAATATTACATTTTACTATTTTAGTGTCAGTATTGAACTCAATTTTTAAATGTTTTAATCTCAAACTTTCTAAATAAAATGTCTTTAAAAATAAGACAACTTTAAGTTTTATTTCAATTACTTTCATAAATTTTTTGAAATAAAAAAAAGTCGGAGTTCAATGCAGCCTGTAACCTTTAAAAGTTTCAAGTGGCAGACAAGTAACCATGGGTCTCGAATTATTTTTTTAAATTACAACTAAATAACTAAAATCTTTATTTTTCATTTAGAATGTTTAAATATAAGTATCTAAGTCCGTCACATTTAGTTCAAGTGAATGTCCAATGTTGTAAAAATTTTAATTTCAAACGCTCATAAAAATTTAATTTAACTTTTTTATAGAATTTTTTTTTTTGATAAAGGCTGATAAATCTTATAAGGAAATCTATTTTTACATTTTAAAACCTTAGATTTAAAAAGAAAAATTTTTACGAATCTTAACTTAAAATAATTTGCTAATTTTCGTGATTTTTCCATATTTTGTCAATTTTTTGAACTTTAAATGCTTATAAAAAAAACTGTGACACTTTAATCTGTGTTCTTACTGTTTAATTTTTTCTAAATTTTTTTTGGTTTTCTAAAATGCATTTGCCTGCGGGCGCCAACACTCCCCTTCAATTTTTTTTTTTAGGAATGACTCTTGTTGAATTTTTTTACAGACTTTAAATTTGATAACCTGATACCCTCTGTATTATAATTCGTTAATGAGCTATTTAATCATTGTGAATTGTTTTTCCCGTTTAAGAATCTGGAGATTGTAATTTGAACTCTCAATATGCGTTCCTATTGTATAAATTTTTTCAAAATTTTTTTTTGTTTTCTAAAATGAATTTGCCTGCGGCGCGCCAATTTCCCCCTTCAATTTTTTTTAGGAATTTGACTCTTGTTGATTTATATTAATTGTCATTTTATAATCAGCTATAATCATTGTCAATTGTTTTTTCTGTTTAAGATTCTTTAAATTTTAGTTTGAACTCATTAATCAATGTTTTTTTCTGTATACATTTTTCTAAATTTTTTTTTGGAAAAAATGCAATTTGAAAAATGCATTTGCCTGCAGGCGCCAACACTTCCGTTCAATTTTTTTTTTAGGAATTTAAATCTAGTTACATTTCTTGTATAGACTTGGTCTTGATAACCGGCAGGTGCCCTATGAATAATTTTTATTTTATGAGCGAATTAGTTCGGTAATTTTTTTCTGTTTAATATTCTGGAAATTTTAGTTTGAGCTCTTTAATGTGTTCCAATTGTATTATTTTTTCTATAAATTTTTTTTTTTCTAAAATATCAACATCACTTATCGCACGCAGCACGGTTAAGTAGTTACTGTTATTACATTTAGTTTTTCCATTGGGATCATTTTTCCGGCAAATCTTAAATCATAATATTATAATAATATAGATTTACAATATTTTTTTAAATACAAATTTGTGATAACACGGCGCTTTGGGTAGGCAATTCAGGTACAACGCTGTTCATTGTTTTTGTGCACTGTTATTAAACAATATACGTGGTTCAGTGTTTAAGTACAACTCTTGGAATCCGTTATAGTAATATTTAAAACCGTGTAAGTAATTCAAAAGCAGATCTCACGGCGTCTTGTCGTCAGTTCAAAAGGGAAGAAGTTTTCATTTTGACTACAGGCAACTATAAATAGCTGCCAGCAGGCCCTGATTTAATAAAATTTGGGCCAAGTGCACAATTTTTTTGGGGGCCCCCTACCCCCTACCCCCTACCACCACCGGCCACCACCACAAGTCAAAAAAATGTTCTAGAAAAAATCTATACAGAGAGTAGGAGGAAATATTGATAATAAAACAAAATATTTATATGTTAAGTATTAAATAAATATCTCAAAATTCATAAAATATTTGTACATTATTTCATATACAGATATACTATAAATACAATTTAGTTACTTGGTCTGGTAAATTAAGGACATTGAAAAGATAATACTAATTGAATAACATAATTAATTATCAATCTTCCATAAAATTATAAAAATGGTAAATAAC